GAGACATCACCTTATGTTGGACGCGTTGTCAGAAGAGACCAGTCCTTGGACAAAAACGCCACACTTGGTAGACGGGCAGCCCTCCACAAGACGCGCTGACACAGTGACTGTAGCCATGGACTGCGACAGAACAACTGTGAGGGTGGTGACGGGCTGGGTGCTCGCAGGGTGGCTAAGAGAGGGACTCAGCTCCACGGCACCCAACAAACCCCACCTTTCCACGAAGACGTCTGTGCTCTTTGAGTTACGCCACACAAAACAGATGTGTGGTATCCTCAAGGTAATTATGTTCCTTTAAATGGTTGGGTGTGGGGAATAAAAGATGTCTAAAGGGGCAAGATCAGAGCTTGAGGGTGGAGGTGGTAAAGGTTTCTAAATGAAATCCTCATTATATGACCCTTGCTCCCTCAAATAAGCAGCAGCATGTACGTTGCTTTGGTGGGGAAATGTCCTTGGTGCAACTTTCCTGGGCTTCTTTTCCACCAAGGCAGTTTCCAATATCCTTAAAATGTCTTCATAATAAGCCCTTGTGATCATTCTGTGTCCATTCGAGGCCATCAAGATTACCCTATGGGGTGGGAAAAAAAAAAGATCGCCCTATGGAATCCTAAAAAAAGTCTTCGTAATCTTCCAAGCTGATCTTTCTATCTTGAATTCAATTGGTCCAGCAGATCTCCTAGGAAGCAACTGTCTTGATTGGACCTTGTTCTCTGAATTGTGCTGCATATCCAAGACTTGCCCCAAGTTATAATTTGTTCCATAAATTGTCTCCATTAGCTTTGATCTTACTCGAAAGCCTGATGGAAATAGCAGCATGTGAGCTAGCTGACCTTCACCCGTTTCCGCACTTATTAAACTGAAAGTTTCAAAAATAAATAAACTAAAAATTTGCTAAAGTTACAACAGCCTTTAAGATAGAAAATGCCAAACCACTGTGAGCCCAACTTCAGTCACTGTTGGATCCATGGGAGTTCTACAGGCTTCTTCCATCAGCTTTTGGATTCCCTTTCATTCATCCAAGTCAAAGTTCTTCCCTCTGTTGGCTCCTCTCTGAGGACTTCCTAACTCTCCAAAAAATGCTTTACTCCATCTAAAAAGTGTCGATTTTTGTGGTTGTTGTTGTTGGGGCAGTATATAAAACCCAAACACTCATGGCAAAGCCTCAATGATTTTGGGAGATGTCTACTTGAGGTTTATTAACCTGATGTTCAACTTGACCTCAAAAAGTATCCTTTCTTCTAAAGGCACCCTAAAGAGACAGATGCAAGTGTACCACTGAGCGGACTGTCTGTAGGCACCCACTGACTACAGAACCAAAGTCCAAGTTCACCGCTAATAAGTCAGTGCTAATGCATAGAAACCCTATCGGGCAGATTGGAACTGCCCCCGTGGGTTTCCTAAATCTTTAGGAGAGTAGAAAGCCTCACCTTTCTCTCTCAAAGTGGTTGGTGGTTTCGAACTGCTGACCGTGCAGACAGCTGGCCAACTCATAACCCACTACTGTCACCCTGAGGTATATCTAAACACGAGCTTGAAACAAACGCCCGGGCCCACATATGAAGTAGAGTGATAACTTTTGATTTACCCTTGTAATGGATGTGCACTAAATACTTGTGGAATTAACTCGTAATTCCTCTATTTTCTCCAGAAAGTGCTGGATGATTGCTACAAATTGCCACATGTCAACTCTTCCATTGGGACATTCCCAAGTCCAATTCCCCAGGGGTGTCTCTAAAACCTTTCCTTAAAACCTGGCACCCGCATTAATTCCATTCAAAATCCCGTTCAAGTCCCGTTTGCTCACATCTCTCTGCCCTGACAACCCCCAATAAGTCAGTGTTCTTACCTGCTTCCATTCCACAAACCCCCAAGCTACTTTCTCCCCATCCATAAGCGCCCCTCAAACCCACCCCTTCACTCTAGAAGTCCCCCTTTTCTCCAATCTCATCGTCCAAAGCCCTGAAATCCTTTAGTCCATTGCTTGACCCCATAGACTAACGCTAACCCTTCCACTTTAACCTAGGACCCACCCGTTGGTCCCCCCAAGCCCCTGTCAGTCCTCAAGGCCCCAGCCGACGCCCTGCCTCCCACTGACTCCCCTCAAGCCTGCGCTCCAAGTTGCGCCCGGCCTAGCCCCACTTGGGCTGGGCCGCGGCCCTACGTGCCCGCCCCGCCCCCGAACCCACGCA